TCGCGCTGGTTTATTATAAATTTTAATTATATATAATAAATATTTATGCACAGACTAAAATCTTAGTTGATGTATATTAAAGAACTCAAATCTTAATAAATCAATGTAGTGAGGGACGGATGCAAGTTGCTTGAAGTAGGGGGTCCCTACTAAATTTTTTATGTCAATTATTTTTTTAATATATATTATAATAAATATATTATCTGTTAAAAATTAAGTATTTTATTGTCTTTTGTATTTTATGTTATAAAAAAAGTTAAAATTAATATATTATTTTTGAAGTATATTTTTTGTTTAAAAAATATATCTAAGTGTAATTTATTAACTTAATTTTTCTTAAAAATAAATGGATGTAAGTTATCAAATGTATGTGGGGTTTGTTAAACTACATCTTCTTTTTTTTAAAAAGAATATATTAGCAAGTTATAACCGTAATATTTTTTAAAATGTTCCTAAAAGTAACTTGTTAACTTACTCCTTAAAAAAAAAACGTAATTGTGAATTAGCAAACTTATATATATGTGTGTCATGTTAAATATAGTTAAATAAACTTAGCTAAAAGATGTTTATTTATCCAATATCATATTATACTTTTTTTTTATTTAAAAAAAGATAAAGTTTTAATATGAAAATGAATGGTTAAATGATTGTTTTGTTACTTATATAAAGAAAAATAATTTTGAAGATGTTGAAAATGAAAATCATTCACTATTTTTAGAATATGAAACTTCATAGAGAATAAATAAAATATATATTTTTATTTCAAAAAATATAAAATTATATTTTTTTTTACTACAAATTTGTATATAAATATTACTTCTACTACTTAAAATTTCTGGATATGTCACTAAAAACACTCGACACAAAAAAAATACTATTATTTCTCTTAATCTTAATATGGAGCCATATTGTTAGGAAATTGTAAGTTTTTTAAGATAAAAAGTTGTAAATTTAATTTTTACTCATTTTTTGAGCAGTACCAATTTTGTCAATTTTTTTTAGTGTTTTCACTGTAGTATTTTTTATTTCAAAAAACACATTCTTTTTTGTAATCATTGGGCCAATTTTATTTTGTATTATTAATTTTTTCATAAAATAAGTATAAATAAATTTATTAATTTTTATAATTTAATTATATCATAAATAAGATAATTATAACTTAATTAAAAGTTTTTTTTTGTGAATACAAGGAGGAAGAACTCCAAACACATTAAAAATTAGGAAGATATATGATGAAACAACTGTATTTAAAACTTATTCATGAAATTTAAAATGTGAAGTTATTGTTAATGTTCGTTGTGAGACCCCTATTCATTCCTTTTCCTTTCCCGACTCTCTCACTCACTCTTGCTCATCTTCTTTCTCTCTTGGCTTTGGGGTGATCTTGGTGGCTGTAGGTGTGGGTGGTGAGTAAGTTGATTTCCTTCTCCGGGTGCTGATTCCTCAAGCTTGTTCTTCCTCTCCGTTCAAGCTCTTTTCACTCTTCTTCTTCTTCTTCT